AGAGGAAGATAAACAAGGACAGGCCTGACATTTCGCCCGTCTCACGTCGCTAATTAAGCGCCCGTCATGCTCCCTTAGCTCTCCCGAATGGCATTTCCTGGCGTTCTCTCGCGCGCTCGACTCCGGCTCGTGTCCCCTGGAGGGCAAGGCAGCAATTGCCAGAGATCAGACGGGGCGCTCACGCGGTTCCTCCCGACGAACGCTTGCCCGCTCCCCGAACCCGCGGCGGCAGGGGGGACATTTCCAGGATGCAGCCAGATGCTGCCTGCTGGGGCCTGTGACTCAGACAACGGGTCGGGCCGAACGGAGAGACGGACAGAGGGACGGATGGGCCTGGAGAGACAGCCAGGTGGCTGGATTGACCGTCACTCCCCTTCCCTTTGAACCTCCCACCACCCAGCTCCCAGGAGCGCCCACGAAACTTCCCACAGGGTTCCGCTCTCTGCCACTTCTGGGGTGTTTCCCTGCTAACCCTGTGGAGCCCCTGTCTCCTCCATGCCCTACAAGGCAGGGGCTCCCTATAGGAGGCAGGGACCCTCTCATCAGGGTTACCCGTGCTCATGGAGCCTTCTGGTAGCAGCCTCTGACTGCCCCTGGCTGGGTTGTAGGGATGAATGGGGCTGGGTTGTAGGGCAGAATGGGATCTGGTGATAGTTGGGGAGGTGTGCAGGGCTGGTGGGGCCCAGTGGATGTGTGGGGGGAGGGCAAGGGCACAAAAAATGAGGAGGTGTTTGGAACAGATCTCGTATGAAGAGAGATTAAAAAGATGTGGACTTTTCATCTTAGAAAAGACAAGAATAAGGGGGGATATGACAGAGGTCTATAAAATCATGACTGGTGTGGAAAAAGTGACTAAGGAAAAGTTATTTATTTGTTCCCACAGTATAAGAACTAGGTGGGGTCACCAAGTGAAATGAATAGGCAGCAAGTTTAAAACAAACCAAAGGAAGTTTTTCTTCATGCAGCACGTAGTCAACCTGTGGAACTCCTCGCCAGAGGATGTTGTAAAGACTAGCACTTTAACAGGGTTCAAAAAAGAGCTAGATAGATTCATGGAAGTTAGGTCCATCAAAGGCTATTAGCCAGGATGGGTAGGGACGGTGTCCCTGGTCTCTGTTTCTTTGGAGCTGGGTGACAGGAGAGGAATCACGGGATGATTCCCTGTTGAGTTCCCTCCCTCTGGGGCATCTGGCATTGGCCACTGTGGGCAGACAGCGTACTGGGCTGGATGGACCTTTGGTCTGACTGCGTCTGGCCATTCTTATGTTCTTCTTACGTTCTGTAACGGCCCAGAAATCAGTGGAACCACACAAGGGCAGTGATGTGCCCATGGTGGTGTGGTCACTCAGTGGCAGAGACGAGTGTCCTGGAGGCGCAAGGTACAGAGTTTTGTTTAGGGTCTGTTGCAGTCACATTCTTGGTCACAAGGTGGCGCACACGGCCCATCAGCCTGAGCAGGGAGCTTAGTTTTCTAATGATAAAAAAAAGCCCAAACTCTGTTAAAAACCCTACAAATGTGTGTTTTAGTAGGGAGGTAAGTGACTCCTTGAGCGACTGCTTGAATACTCGCTCCCCCCTCTGCTGCCTATGTAGCAGAGGCAGCAAGGCGGGGGAGCAGGAGCCAGTGTTGGGGGAAGCTGGCTTAAAAGCGGGTGTGCGAGTGGGGGGCAGGAGAGGGAGACCCACAGCAGTCCCAGGGTGCGGCTCTGCACTTTAAAGGTAGTAAGAGCCCGGCGACTCTTCCGACATTTCAAATGCAGAGCCGCAGGGGTGATAGTGAGCTCCCCCCCCAACTAATCGATGGCCAGTCCACCGACTACGCGATTCGCTAATTAACCGCATCGGAACAACCCTCGTTTTTTATGCATTTAACATGAAACGCGGAGGGTTCATTTCCCGGGCCACACGGGATGTTACGGACGTATGTACAAGCTGGAATCCCCTTGGGCCACCCCGCATCAGAGGGGCAACTGTCCAATGCCTAGAGGGGCCGTGCGGGACACACCCCACATACTCGGGCAGTTGGACCCCCTGGAGCCTGTTGGGTTATGTAACACTGAATAGGGGTCTGGGATGGCTGTACCTGTGGGTGAGGAGTTCAGTCACAGCACTCCCCTGGAACATGTGGTTTCTCTTTGTTTCTGCCCTCTGGAAAGACAGAGTCCGGCCAAACCAGGTATAACCCTTCCTATGTAGAAACAAAATGCAGGACAATGTAGCACTTTAAAGACTAACAAGATGGTTTATTAGATGATGAGCTTTCGTGGGCCAGACCCACTTCCTGTTTTGATCTGAGGAAGTGGGTCTGGCCCACGAAAGCTCATCATGTAATAAACCATCTTGTTAGTCTTTAAAGTGCTACATTGTCCTGCATTTTGCTTCAGCTACCCCAGACTAACATGGCTACATTTCTATCACTATGTAGAAACAGGCTTTTCCCCTTCATGTTTGTAGCCTAGCAAAATCCAGAAGCGCGCAGCCGCCCTGTTGTGTCTGTTACTCGGGGCTGGCCCGTGAGATCTTTCCAAGGCTGCAGTCTCTGTACCGATGGATTTGGAAAGTTTGTCTGTAGCAGAGCGCTGGGTTCATTAGAAATTCTGCAAAGAGCCATCAGAGGCAGGGACCAGCGTAGTCAGCACCCGCCTGTTAATGTGCCCGGTGCAGGGTGAGTATCCCCGGGGACTGCGGGCCGGGAAGAGGGGTACAAAGAGGCTGGAAGGCGGGTAGCGAGCAATGGCTCGGTGTCCGGATGGCGTCTC